TTTATTTTGTTGAAATGTAAGGTGCAATACAGATATAATTTATCTACTATTTATTCCGTTCTTATCCTTGTGCTGCTAATAAAGATAGATATGCACACACACACACACACAGAGAGTTGTAGAATCACTGTAAACATGGGTCTGAAACCCATACTTCTAGTTGCAGAGAGTAAATATTTTGAATGTGTAGTAAATAAATAAGTAACTGAGGTTTGTGAGCAGGATGACACCCTTCTGTCACCTCGTCTGTAACTCCCAGAAGCTGCTTATCACAGTTTGACACTGTTCTCTATACATTTATAAAACTTCTTTTGGAGCCTTCAGCTATCGATTATTCTAGGAATCAATTACTTTTGATTAATCATGTAATCTATTAACTTTCATAAAAGTATCATTCATATTCTAAAGGAAATAATACTTTTACTTGTTAATTGGAGACCTCTGGAAACACCAGGCGCCACAGTGCAAAACTGCCGTTGTGTCCTTAGGCAAGACACTTCACCCGCATTGCCTAGAATGAGTCTGGTGTGTGTGTGAATGGTTGGTGGTGGTTGGAGGGGCCGATGGCACATACTGGTTGCATCACTTCTGTCAGTGTGCCCCAGGGCATCTGTGGCTACAGTACTGAGGACGGTGATGTTGGGGGTTGGTAAAAATTAACATTTATTTTTTTCCAATGAGGGACAGGATTTGTTTTTTTCCTATTTATTCACAGTAGAAGAATGCAAATAAAATGCTATATGTGACATTATACAGTATTCCATAATATCATATAATATTTATTTAAATATAATGTTGTATGGCAATGACATGGATAAATAAATACATACAGAAATTGTGCACTTAATGTGTAAGAGTTTCTCACTATTCACAAGTAGCAAAAAATGATTTGATTAATTGAGGCAAAGGATTGGTAATCAAAGATTTTTGATACTTACTTTATTTGATTAACTGTATACTTCTGTAAGCACAGTGACTTTTGTTATTCTCTAAATATTGTATGTATTTTATATTTTTATTTAATTTACCTTGTTTTGAGCGCTACTTTTATTCCTAGTGTGATGTAACACTGACATTTCACTACTGGGATGAATACTAGTTTTGTTATGTAATCTTATAATTTTAGAGGGATTCCAAAATCAACTCAGCTTTCACATGCCTGCTGCTGCGCTGGCATTGGCTTATGTGTAGGTGGTCATGCGCATCCATTGGCGGTCTGCTCTTTGTGAACGTAGACAGACCCCGAGATATGTCAATGACACTTTAGACTTTACAGATACAAACTTTTCTCTTGTCTCACCACTGCTGCCTCGGTCATGTACCCCGGCTCACTCTCTCATCCTCCTCATCCCTTCATTCATCTTCCACCCCAGTGCTCGGTCTCTCTCCCTCCCACAGCCCAGCATTTGCTCCGTCCAATTATAACCCGATCTACCAGTCCTTTGCAGTTACCATAGCAACAGCTATGTTGGGCTTATGTCCGGGTGGCACATGGGGTCAGAACCTGAAAACTGACCATCATTAAAGTTTAGCCCGAACATTATTCTCATTTTGGTCATTCATTACTGACAACAACCAACGCTATATATCTCTTAACCAGCAAAATACCACAAAACAGACATTAAAACCACGATAATCAGCTCTTAACAGTTCATCAGATAGCATAAATGGTTTTAGGTCAGATGCTTGGAGGCTTTGGACAACCTATTTACAAGAAAAACCAACAAGGATGAGGGTAGATACGAGCAACTTGTAATATGCACATGTGGCCATTTGAGGGCACCACTAGCCTACAGGAAAAAAGGACAGCAATCCAATCCAAAGCAGTCTGTCAGCACTATAAGCTGACACCAGGTAATAATTACATTTCTACACACAACCACTAAAAGTCATAACCTGGATATTTCACATGTAAATCCTTTTGCTGCTTTTATTTCATGAAATCAACGCCTTATGCAAAAACCCTATAGTTCCAGAATCATAAAGTGTCAACAAATATATCAACTACGGTGACATTCATGCAAATACTATTCTGAATCAGCTCATGAAGTAATATGTCAAACACAAACACGAGTGCAATAGTGCAATTCTGTGCAGACATTCATAATTACAGTTGTCCATGACTTCTGTGGTCACTAGTAGACCTCTACACATGTGTTTGATGCCAGTCTATAGAGCTGTGTGATCCAGATGTGGTTGTTGCCATGGTCAGGAAGGATATGCAGAGCTTTAGGAGTTACATAAAGCAGGGACGGGAGGGAGCGGGGATGTTATTCCCGGGTATCCGTATCCGGGTAGACCAGGATCAAGAGAACCGAGCGGAGAAGTGGTGTATTGCCATGATGTGAAGGGTTAATACCAACGTGTCATAATTTCTATTAAAACAATGAAAAATTGAAGAGAGTGCAAAGACGAGAAATATGCATCTCACTGGAAAACCGTGTGCATCAGTAGTTTTTTTAACTATATATATATATATATATATGCTTAGAAGCAGAATATGATATATATATACACACACACACACACACATACTCAAGCTAAAACATGTTCTAGCTAAAAAGCTAAAACATGTCGATCAGTTGTACAACTCTCCTTTAGATCTTTCTTCATCAAGCTAATACAAATGCAAAGGTTGTGTGTCTATAAGATTAGAGCATCTTTCCGGCATTGCCATAATAGGTGGTATATTTCCATCCATACTACTGTGTAAATTATGCAAAACTAATCACCACGCCTGACTGTTTCAGTTTCGGTGAGAATGGAGTAACTCTGCACGCTCCACATATGGACAAACACACTCCAAGGAAAGCAGCTACTTCTATTTGCGAATATTCTGTGTTACGTACAGGCAACCTCTCTGTGATGTTTGCTTTGTTGCCATAGCAACAGACTGTTGGCGCTCACACATCATATCCGGTCCACAATGATTGACGCTTAGTTATTGTGTTTCCATCACACCCACTACACGTGATGCCATAATCCCTCTCATCCTTCACGTTGTCCCATAGCTTTCATGTCCCCAACTCAAAACTTCCAATAACTTTCAGCATACATATCTCATTGAGGTGTTTGGTCAGCTATTATGGTCATCGATCATTTAAAAGTCCTCTCTGAAGTCCACAGTTTCAAATTACATTTTTGTGTAACTAAAGTTCCAGTTCTGCAGAGTCACGTAGGCCTGAATTTCAGTGTTGCACTTGTTTGCACACTTCTTCATCTCCTCAAAAACACATTAAACATGACTTTGGATACACATGGAGTTTCCTACTTCTATTTTACTCTCCCCCCAGAGGATTTCCAAATCTTGCACAGCCCATCTACAGCCGCAGAGAACACCCACGCGAGTCCCACGTTTTCAACTAAATTCATAGACACACTCTCTCACACATAAAGCCGCGCTATTCATTCACTCAGCGTCCTCTCGGCTCCAGAAAGAGAGCATGAGGAGGGACCGTACACTCAAAACGACAGCACAGCCTTCGCTCTCCTCTTTCTCTGTCACACCACATAGCTATAGGTTCCACGAACACACACACACACACACACACACACACGCACACTCACACACACATGCGCGCACACAGAAGCGGATGGTCAGGACAGTGTGAACTCCGCCAACTCTTCCTGTGTCCATATGCGGCCCAGCAGATAGGTGGGCTTCAGCTGATGGTGAATAATAAAGTCTCAATGGTACACACAATGCCTAGTGCGTATTTTTTCCCAACACATAAAAACAAAGCGCTTCACACGCCCACACGAAACAGTGAAACCTACACAACATGGCCTGTGGCTATATCTGTGCTGGGAAAAATAGAAGGCTTCTCTCAAACCATTTTCAGAAAAACACATGGGCCTTGTCCTGGCTCCAGCTTTGCCCAAAAACAAAACGTTTTCACTGAAATAATTATAACTGTAGACTGCCGTGAGAGGTGTGTGTATGATTTCTTTAACTTGCCTTAACACACACACACACACACACTCACACACTACCTTTAAGGCAACGTGTTTGTGTTTGAGGTAACACAAATACATATTGTTGAACCAATAATTCTCAACCTTACAAAGTACATTTTTTCTCAATAGCAAATATGTTTTAAATATTTGTGTTCAAGTGTGTGCAAGGAGAAAACATCTTACTGGACCTGACTTCTTTCTTTTTCAATGTATTTGCTTTTTATTTTCTGTTTGTAATTACAATAATATAGGTAGTTACGTAGTTATAGATGACTGTGGTCTGAAATTATGGATCTGAGATGTTACGCATTTTTCAAGCTGCGTAAAAACGTATGCATTTTGTTTTCTCTACACAGTGATGCAGGAGCACAGCTTGAAAGGTTCTACAAATTGAGCAGAATAACATATGAATAAATATTGTATTATTTCTAAACAATTCGTTTTCAGCACTTTTTTGAGTGTCTTCATTCGTTCGAAGCTTGTTGTCAGTCAAACACCACAGATATTGCTTTTTACACTTGTGCTACAGCTACAAACCTAATATACATAAATACATACTAATAAACTTAAGAATACCTAAAACAACAATATGATAAACATAAAAAAACACTCATGGGAGGGGAATTAAATATTGGCAAAAACTTTCTTAAATATGTTTATATAGTTGTTAGATAGACGACATAGCAAGATGCAGTTTCACACTTGACACAGTTAAATACTTTTGAAGATGTGTCTGTTCTCCTGCAGGAAGAGTCATCAAAGAGCCTAATGCAAATGTGGATATAATTGTGGTTTTCTGGTATAGTTCATTAAATATTTATTATTCTTGTAAAGTATTTTTTTACCACAGTGTGATTACAAAAATATATTTACAAAATCCATATAAATTGTATTATGGAGAAACAGATAATTCTCATTAAAATATTCCATAAAAAGATATTTAAATATAAATATAAATACATATTTTTTACAAATGTCTAAATTTAATTGTGAAGTCGGTGTTTTCACAACATGTGAATGTGCCCATGTGTGGGAACACTCACCTGTGCCAGGGCGTCCCATTATGATGTCCTTTCGGGGGGCAGGGTGGAGGTTTTCTGCTGGCAGGATGAGGGGCAGGAGTGCGGTGGGAGACGGGTGGCAGGGAACAGGCTGCTGGAGCTCCCCCCCAAACCCACTCTCCCTGGTCTCCCCTCCATCCCCAGAGCTGTCTGTGCTGTTCGCAGAGGGAGCCACTGTTGTGCTGACAGTCACTGACAGGGCCTGCAAAGGGGCAGCAGGGGTGTCAGTGGAAGGGGAGGCGGACACAAGCACCAGAGTCTGTGCTGGGCTCCGCAGAATCACTGTGCCATTGGTGACGCCGCCTGTAGCAGCATTTATGGGGACCGGCACCTGGAGGCCCGAGATGGGTTGAGGAGTGAGCGTCACACCAGCGTCTGTGGAAGTGTTCGCCTCAGAACCTCCATGTCCAACAGGGCACTCAGTAAATTTGGCCAGAGGGATTTCAGGATTTCTGACAATAACAGGGGAGTCTCGCAAAGTCTGCTGGGTAACTGTCACCATGCGCCGAGAGCCTGCATCAGGTGGGAGTGGGGAAGGAGGGGTGGGAGACACAAGCAGTGGAGGAGGGGACACAGCAGACGGGGGTCTAGAGGAGGGTGTAGTGACTCCCCGGGGCCGGGGGAATGTGGGGGTGTGCGTACGGGAATGTGCTGGTGAGAGGACCCTGAAGGAGCCGCTGAGCTCGCTGTTCTCCTCAGTCTTCGGAGTGTAGTCATGATGGTGCGAGGTCAGGGGAGCGGGGGCAGGAGTGTCAGCCTTGCGTTTGCTGGGGCTCATGGGGACAGTAAACGTCAGGTTGTTTTGGAAGGACACCTGGATATTTCCAGAAGTGTGCCTCTCTTTTTCTCCTCCACTGTGAACAGCTTTTGAACCGCCTGACACCCCTCCCACCCCTGCCCCGCTGGGCTGTCTGTGCCTACGATGTGACAGGACTGGGGAGGCTGTAATAGGGGAGAAATTAGCTGGTCTAAAACCAAAGAGTGGAGAAGGGGAAGGAGAAGGGGCTGGGGAGAAAGGGGACTGGTTGGAGATCGGAGAAAAACAAGGTGTCCCTGAACGAGAGCTGCCCAAAGACACAAGCATGGTGGCTGCCTCACACTCATCATAGTCAAAACGTGAGGACAGTTCATGTGGGACGAGAGAGGGCAACACTAGACGGGGTCTGGAGTCTCCTCTGCTGCTCGTCTCGCTACCCTCTCTCGATGTGTCGTCCCAGTCCAGTTCACTGCTGGCTCTCCCGCGCAGGTCAGAGGGGGTAAGTGTACCTGAGCTGCTGCCCCTGCCCCGCTCACCTCCGGCTGCTTCCATCTCTTTGGTCCTCATCGACAGGTGTCGGGAGCAGTAGCCTCTACGCTGAGACTCCTTCATGCAACCGTCCCTGGAGCATAGCCTTCGCCACTGCTTTCCATTGAACTTCTTGCGGATTCCATTGGGGGTACACACCACATCACCCTTTTTGTATTTTTGTTGTGCTAGTGACAGGGGTGTCCTGGAACGAGAGGAGGTAGAGGAAGTGGGAGTGGGGGGCTGGGAATGAGTGGTTTTGGATGGAGGTAGGTTAGAAGTGGGATTGCTCATCTCTGAGGTTAATAATGCTATAGAGGGGGGTGGCTGAGGGACAGTAAGTGTGGACATGTGCGGAGGGCCCAGATCTCGCACCACAGTAAGGTGAGAGGGGGAGGAGGGGTAGCAACTTTTAGAGAGGAGATTTGAGTTATGAGGGGAGTCAGCGGCTGTTTTTGGTGTGACAGTCAGGCCCATATTTAATTGGGAAAGTTCTGGATCTTCGTCAGGAGCAAGGCTGTTTGTCTGTTTTGGTCTCTCTCCCTGCACTCTTGTCTCAGAACTAGTCCCTATGCTGGGCATCCCAGTAGCAGAGTGTGGCGGTGGGTTAACATTAACATAAGGATGCCCCGCAGTAGTGGCCTGGTGCAAAAAACTATGACCCAGTCTGCCCCCTCCTCCCAGAACCCCCATGCCCTTACTCAATTGACACACCTCCCTCTCCACTTCCAACTCCTCCCTCCGCTCCCTCTCCTCCCTTTCTCTTTCTCGCTCCCTCTCCTTTGCCCTTCCACCGTCAAAGTTTGGGACTTCCCAAGGAGGGGTGAGTAGTCTCAGGCTCTGTCGTGACACCCAAACAGCCAGTCTTTCTTTCTCTCTGCCAGCCTTCTGGCTGTCCAGAATCTGGTCATTGAGAAGGACACGGTAGGGAAACGACACTCCAGGATGGGGGTCCACCTGCGTCACAATCCCTTCTCTGTAAAATAGAGGCCCACCCTCTTCCCCACCAAATGGCACACACACTTGTGTTCCCACAGCCACAGGTGCCATGCCAGGTGGGGGTGCATCCAAAATTAACTCCACAGTGCGAGTTGCCTTGGGCGATGATGTAATCACAGTGTTACCATGAAAAGGATATTGAACAAGTCTCTCTTCTCCTTGGAGCTGAACCTCTACTGTCCCTTCACCCACACAACGAACCACACCAGGTTTGAACACACAAGACAGTGCCCCCAAGTCCTTCCCATTTACTCCACTCTCTACACTCCTCTTTAGCTGACATGCAAGAACCCTCTGATTTTTCAAGCCTTTGGCCAGAGCTTGGGCTAGTCCATCTGAATGGCTCACTTCCTTGGGTGATGAGTGGCAGAGGGGGCTACTTGGATGATTTGTTCTCGCTGGCTCCACCACGTCCAGCTCGGCGGAGTGTTCACTGGCTGTGTCAGTGGACGAGGAGAGCACTGAGTTCGGAGTTCCCTCAGTCTCTGTCTCTCTGTGCTCCTTTTGCTGCGGACCCTCTGTCGTGAGAGCCCTGCTGTCCACAAGGACAAAGTCATTCACTTGTGTTGCATTAGAACCCACAGTCGGCTGTGGGGAGATAATACCTGAGGAAGTATTAGTTTTACTGCAAATGCTATTGTTACAATTATTCCTGCTACTATTCACTATGTTACTAAAGGTGCCTTTGTCATTACTATCACTACTATTGTTGCTATACTTGATATTATTGATCTTATGGATACTGTCACTGACTTTATTGTTTTTATTGCAGTTGTTTTGCGAAGAAGCAGGGCTGGGGGCATGAATGGCAGTCATGGAATTATTCACAAAGTGCTCGTACGTGTATTTTTTCTTGGGGATGCGGGCTTTAAAAGTGGCTGTTTTCCTACTTGAGACCGAGGCTGTGACGTGGCTGTGATTTGTGGCAGCTGGGGGTGTAGTTGTGAAGACAGGCGCTGAAGGAGAGGTAGTAGATGCTACGCATTCTGCAGATGTAGCACTAGTTCCATTTGTGCCTATAATTTTGTTCTCTGTCTTTTCTTGTGGCTTTGTAGAGTCCTTCTCCGCCGAATCCACAGGTTGCCTCAGTGCAGCAGGTTCTGAAGTGCTGCTGCTTATCATTGGCTCCTTGTTAGTGCGGTAGGTGGGGGGAGGGGTTTGTTTCTGTTTGGAAAGAATACTCAGTGTTTTGGTTGTGTGCTCTGTCGTCTTGACAAGTGTATCCCTCCTGTGTCTTTTGGCATCCTTCTCTGGGGGAGAGTGGGGACCCCCCCTTTTTCTTCCGCGGCCTCTTGGTTTCTTTATTGGTCTCATGACTACTTTCCCCTTATACAAAGTGCTTTTAACTGCGCTTCTCTCACTTTAAGGCACTCCTTTATATTCTGTCTTTCTCTTTCCTTGTCTTGGTTGACTTTCTCTCCTTTGGCCTTTTCCTTTGAAAGCTGAAAACAGAAATAACAGAAAATAATGTGAGATTATTGATAGATTTTAGAACTGCTAGTGAAGATTATATTCACTTATATGGACAATATTTAAACAAAAACAAAAATCTTTGATTTTTAAAGTTAATTTCTTAAGAACTACATCAACATTATTGTTATTATTAAGTATCATATATTATAGTATTATATTCTGCCCACAGTTAACTTCAACAATCAATTATCTTCTTTCAAGTTATCGTTTTCTTTAGCTTTATCAGGGTTCATGTCACTCAGGCAGCGCAGAGACAGACTTCCCTGTTCACACACACTTCCAAGCTCATCCGGAGGAATCCTGAAGTGTCTCCTCACAGTGTATTTACATAATACAAAATATGACATTTTTGACAGTCCAAAGCCAAAGCCACAAGCCTATGATAACATTTATATAATGCCAATTACTAAACCCCACCAGGATGTTTTTGGCTATTTGAGTTCATAGAGAATTGTCACAGTGTGATCCAGGAACATATATTTTTTCTAAATGATACAGGGGAAACATTACATTCACAACAAGCACTCGTCCACATTCACTATCTTAAAAATATATTCACAATTCCTTAAAGGTGCACTACGCAGCTTTGTGGAGGATCTACATGAAATATGTTGTTTTGCCTGGAATATTCCACAGTGTGGCAAAGCATTTTCCATCTGCATAGAAGCAAATTATATCATTTGGCTAAGTTGCAAGTCATATCTGCGGAGAAGTGAGCCAAAGTAAAGTAAAAATTCAGGATTCTGAGTAGAAAAATCTTCCATCCATCCATTTTCTTCTGTCTTCTCATCACGGCAGTCTCAGCAGGGAGGTCCTAACTTCCCTATCCACACACACTAACAACTGTAACTATAATGAACACGTTAATGCCATACATAGGTACATTCTGGGCAAAGAAATATTATCTCCATGGCAACAAGCTGTAGCAGACTCCATCAGAAAAGTGTGCCTGTAGTTTAGTATTTTGCTTTCAGTAATAAAATCATTATATCATAGCCGTGAAGCACTGACCTTAATCACAATGAAGACATAGTTCGTTTAAAAAGCGTATTCACTTCACATTTACTAAAAAAAAAACATAAGTAAGTGATGTTTATTTGTATAGCGCCTTTCACAGAATGAGAGTCACTATCCATCGATGCAGGAAGTGGGGTCGCCTGTTCACAAGAGGCGCAAGACAGATCTATTAAAACATGTCTTTAGGAGTACGGAAAACCAGAGCAAACGGGGGAAACTACACAGATACGGGGAGAATATAATAATAATAATAATAATGCATCGGTTTTATATAGCGCTTTTCTGGACACTCAAAGACGCTTTACATGTGTCATTATTCATTCACTCCATACACGGTGGTGATAAACTACTACTGTAGCCACAGCTGCCCTGGGGCACACTGACAGAAGCGAGGCAACCAGTCTGTGCCATCGGCCCCTCCGACCACCACCAACCATTCATACACACACCAGACTCATTCTAGGCAATGGGGGTGAAGTGTCTTGCCTAAGGACACAACGGCAGTTTGGCACTTATGCAAACATATGCAAACTCCTCACAGAAAGGCCCCGTCTGAAAGTGGAACCAAACCGCAGCACCACAGAGCCGCCCCAATTACCACTGCCCCTAACCACAATAAACCAGAATCAAGCCTCTTACATGATCAAACATTACGAATATGATCATGTCTTTTTCATTCTTTAAAAAGGCTGAATAAACGTTATAAATGTGTTCATATCATTTGCATTAGAGTCCAGGTTGGAAATCTTGACCAGCACGATCCCAGAGTCACATGGGCCCAGTTTAACTCGAGAAACACCTTGCAAAAAAAGAATGAAAGTGGTCACCATGCTTTCTCACGCTACGTAGCACAGACCCCATGTGTTGTTTTTGGCGCGGGAAAGCAAACGCTAAGCTGCATTTAAATGGACTTTGATCAGAGCCGGTTCTGTTGAGGTCACCCAGACGTGCACACGAGAGACATCCCAGCACAAGTGTGTGTCTGTGCGCTCAGATACGGCCTGAGTGTGGACTGGGCTCTTTGGGAATTTCCAGTGTTCATCATCACACACCGGCTTTCCCTATCCCCGGCATCAATCCACTTTGCTTTTTCATCATACTTTTTAAATAATCTACTTACTTTCTGTACACAAGAGATGAACTCAGCATTTAGAAAAAAACATATACTTTTGTAAATGCGAACTTCATATTCACATTGTGTCCTTACTGTGTTCTTACAGTGCTCGAGCGCATAAAGGAAGCACAGATTAGGAAATAAATAGCACCGGAACGATCTACATTCCAGCTATTGGCCAGTGTGAAGAGCTCCGAGATCTGGTGCTCGTGTTGGGGGGGAAAAAGACAGGAAGGAGTCAGATCGCTGTCTAAAGACCTGGGTATGGAAAAATGTGTTTGGTCATGCTGGAGGCCTTCAAAATGTGTTTCAGAATTTGCTGATAACACTGCATGGAACACTTGGATTGATAAATATAGTTTTGGCATAGTAGTGTTTTTTTTAAATTAGTTTTCAAGACATAATTCTATATTTAACAATGACCATTTAAATGTACATGTATTTTAAATAGAAAATAAAAGCACAAAAAAGTTTTAAAATAATAATAATAATCTGCATGTGTCTTAAAACTGCAAATGAAGCAAAAATAATACATTTAGGATGTTGTTTTTATCAAATTGCAATTCAATATATTATGAAGAAGTACATTTTTGCAGCCATTCTTTTCGAGATAAAATATAAAAGGGCCGTTGATAGAGAATCAAGTTTTAATTGAGTCATACACTCCTGCCTCCTGAAAGCACCTGATAATCTGCAATCATATCAATCTGTCATTGAAGCATGCTCCTTCAACTGCAAAAACATGCCGGTACAGTTTCAAAAACAGTGTGTGACGCCAAACGGAGCAGCCATCCACGGCCCAGCAACTTCAAACTTTACACACACATAAAGTCCTCAGCCTTCACTGTGCATCGGTGAGCAAAGACTCTCCTCCACCTCTCTATCTATGTCTCACATTAAACAACATTCCCCTCCTATACTATTTGCAGAAAAACAAACGTATTTAGCTTCTCTACATTGAGAGGGACTGGTATCGTGTGTGTTACTACTTTGAGTGACGATGCAAACGATGCATAGGAGAGCATCTCATTCCACAACCAAGTAATGTCAGTCGGTGGCAGGATTATGAACAAATGTACAGTATTAATTATTCTATTCTATTCTATTATTTTATATTCATCCATTTATTTATACTCTTTCAAAGTGAATCTGTCATAATGAGACAATTTTTTTTTAAAGGTTATTTCGAAAAATGGTTATGCTTCAGGTTTTGCATAATAAAATAAGCGCACCCATCTTTTTTGTTGTTTTTCTATTTCAATCTTTTTGACAATGAATTATGAATAAGTGATTGATTAATGGCCTCAATAGGAAAGGTAGTATTTTGGATTGCTACCAAATCTAGAACCTTTTAGATCTTGCCACTTTGCATCGTGGCAATGAATGTAAGTCTGCGAGCGGCGGACACTTGGAGGCGCGTTCCATGGCATAGAGTGCATGGTTCTATCGAGGTCAATGAGTTCTTTGTGCAATGGGCGATATGCTTCTTTTTAGTCATAGGATTATATGGTTTAATTTGGATTCTCTATTGCCCTATAGCTGCAGTGGGGCAAAGGCTGGACAGTGCAGAACATACGATGGAATGACAGAGGGGACCACGTACACCCTTGTCCATCTGACAGGGTGATTCTGGCCCTAACTGGGTTACCAGGGAGAACAGAGGCATGAAACTGCAGAAGATCACACGATGAGTTCTTCTCACACTGACATGACTTGTTCACGAATGAGGGGGATTTCTGCACAGAGACAACATGAACCCAGAATGGAAAATATGTTGTATTTTAGTACAGCGACAGGGCGAGCTGTTAAGAGAGTGCATGTTATTGAGAGCTTCCATTGTGACGTATTCAATATACTGCCAATGATAGTTGTGCAGTCGACAAACGTTGGTATAAGAACTTTCTGCAACATGTAAGTCCATTTGTCGACAGCATATAAAAGACTCATGAAGGGAGTTTTTATTCTTTATCAGAATTCTGCTCCCGTATAAATCTGGCATTGAGGAAGAGCTCGTATTGATGGGAATGACAATTTAACATCAATGACAGTTCTATGAGCTCACACCTTCAGGATGTAAATTGTCCTCTGTGTACACAAGAACAATAATAAAGATCTGAGCTTGTATGCTGCTGTTTATCAAAATATGAAAACAGGTGAAGGGAAAAATGTGACAACCCCTTAGGGGGAAACTAACAACTACATTCTGTCCAGTCAAATGTCAGGGATGACAATAGACTGAGATGGCACGGTAGTGATCCACGAACTGCCCTGCAGAAATTAGTAGTAAGTAGAATGGAAAATAGGGAAGAGCCGAGGCAAGAAGGAATGCTTTTCCGGCTTCATTGCGTTTCGCCTGTGCGAGTACTATGAGGCGCTACACAACTGAGTGATGTGACTTGAGGCAGTCCGCCGGGCTTCTCTGCGCACGCTGGGGCTCAGCAACAAACACAAACAACCGGTTTCACTTCAAGTGACGTTTTATTTCTATCACGAGGCAGGTTTTATGTCCTTAAACTATCGTGTAAGAAGCAAACAGTACGGAGTAAGTTGTCAACCGTATGAAACACTAATGTCTGTGTTTCCCCCGCACTCAGGTTAAAGAAATGACAGTTGCCTTTATCCACATAATAATAATAAATAATAATAATAATAATGTGTCCTTTAGGACTGGGTGACTCGCTCTAGTAAGCAGCCTGTAGTGGCGGTAGTAGTCGTAGTACGCAGCAGACTACGAGAGCTCTCATAAAAACACGGTCTGCAGACACGTACACAACACCGGAGCAGGACGCGGTACTCGCTTTCACTAAATCACGTTTCTTGAACAAGGTGGAGGATTGTGCCTGTGCTCAACAGTATGCGCTGCAATGCTGCAAATAGGTCGATTGTTTTACTACGCTATTGCTACACTACGCACAAACTCGGCGAGTAAGGTCAAGGGAAGTGCATAGTGTTCGTCCACATGCATTTATATCCTCCGAGAAGTTGGATCCTGGCGGTATTTCGACCTCGGGACTGCGGAACAACACTGGAGAAAGTTTATAGGCTGTTACACCCCTCCTTCTGTATCCTCTGCGTTACAACCGTGTCATCCCGCTCTCATTCGCGCGATAAAAAGCACAAACTCGAGCTAAGTGTTTTTTGTTAAACGTAGATTACTATTTGGTTGGACTCGTTTGCGTCCTGCTAACTTGGTCACAACTTACCAATCGACTTGTCCTTTAGTGAGGCAAAGAGTTATAGTCCTATTTTCTTGTCGTGGAGGTGGCCACAACTCTTCGGAACATCCTTTAGCTGTCGGTCTTCACCAGTGTGCAGTGAGGGCTCTCGCTTAACTTTCCCTCCTCCAAACATGTCTTTCCTCCTTAAACTCAAACAAGGATACAAAAAACTATCGCTCTTCTTTTCCACTACAGTCACAAAATGGTGAATGAACTACTAACAGCTGGTGAAACTGACCAATCAGAGGTAGCTGACAGGTACAGTAGCCAATCCGATGCGTGAACAGGGGTTGGTGGGCGGAGCCTGCTGTCAGAGTCCACATGACAGACAGTGATGTTCAGCCAATAGCCGCGGTGATGCTGAGCCAGGCGAGGCTGCTCTCCCAAACTTTACAGTACCCAATAAGAGCCATAGGAACCATAGGAACAGCGTGGAGGAGGGTCTAGAGGCGGGAGCCAACATCACAGAGCCAACAAAAAGGCACAAATGTCACCTCCCCTCCTGCAAAAGTAAAAGTGTTTTACCATAATTGACAGCGCAAGTGCCTTCCACGGCTATATCGTGATATTGTATCAAGCCCAAAACTTTGCACAGGATTCAATGATAATTTTTCAGGCAACAATTAGCCTCGGTGATAGCAGAGAATCCATTCTCTGCCCCGTTCATGTTGGTGCACAAATCATACAACATTAGGGATAGGATCGGAACAATCAGTACCTGGTGGGCTGGTTCATGTGTGAATGTGGTGTAACAGAAAAGTTGTAGTACCTTCTGATAACTGTTCTTGTTCCCTCTCTTTTCTCTCAGCAACAGACGCTCTTTCTGCGCTACTGTCCAATCAGAGCGCACCTTGCAGCTCCCGGTGACGTGTAGGGCAGCCAGGCTCCGCCCACTTCAATACAACCCTATGGGCCGCACACCGCTGACGTCACCAAACCGGGACATGATTGGGCACGTGGACCGTGTGTCTGAACCAATCACCGCCACCGCAGATGATGTCATCACGAGTGTTGCCACCAGCTGGACTGAAGGGGCGTGGTTTGTGGTAAACTCAGTTAACCCGGTGTAGTTACTCCGAGACAAACCGCGCTGGAGCGCGTTAACCATAGTATTAAACATGGACATGTGCTGGCGCGTGCAGCTTGGAACGTTCACGAAACGCACACAGTGAGTGGCGTTTTGTCAATTGACAAACACACATCACCTTGCACAAGAAAGTGTCATAATAGTAACATTACATAATCTTGCTTGCTGTGTGTAGTGGAAGCACAGACTCATGCTGAGACATCCGTGGAAAAATTCCCACGGAAACAGCGCCATCTGCTGATGAAATGTGGTCATTGACAGCATCACGTGACACAAAGTGAAAACATGATCAGAGAAAAAATCTGCACTGCTGATTGGATGTAGAAATGAGAATATCCCAGTGGTGAAACCCATGTGATGTGTGATAATTGTAGACATGAGACCAGTGTTGATCGAGGGACATCTAGTTGTTGTCATGAGGAGGTGCAGACAAGTCACAAGTCATGATTTTGAATGTTAATTATTGGTTGCTTGGTTTTATTCACCAATATTTTCATATTGGTGAATGTCTCAGTCCATATGCTTGCTGGTCTTTCAGATGTTACAGATCTCATAATTTTATGCAGACAAAGTTGCTAAAAAACAAAGGTATTGAAATATGTATTCAAATATATTGTTGTTCTGTAAAGTGACCTTGACGTGTACTACAGAGCTCTAGGCCAGGACTCCATTGAAAAAGAGATATCGATCTCAATGGGTATTTTCCTGATTACATAAAGGTTAAATAAATAGAAAAATAAGATAAGATAAGACAGACTTTATTGATCTCACACTGGAGAAATTTACAGAATCACTCAGATTGTGCAAAAGGCAGAAGTGTGCAAACATGTAAAACGTTAAAAATACAATATTACCATTGTATTTCCTTTTATTAAAATTAGACCCATGTACTGCATTAGAGCCTGCACTGGTCATCTCGATACAGTGTCCTGCAGTAGTGACAGCTTGAACCTTTGCACATTTTGTCATATCATAACTATAAACATGAAGATTATATATATATATATATATATATATATATATATATATATATATGTATATATTTTTGTTTTTGTTTGTTGTTTTTTTCACTGAAAGAACACAACAAAGTAACAGACAGCTTTGAAACTTATTGATTGCTAAAAGTCGTAAGAAGCAAACAGGACACATTCAACATATGGAAGAAGGAAGCTGTGGTCTGATCTTTGGCATAAATTCAAAATGTCATTTATGGCTCAAAACTTACACTGCTCTTCACCCTCAGTCCACCGTCCCCAGTGTCATATGGGGGTGGCACATACATACATATGACATTACTCATTCACTAAATACACTGTGGTAACAATGTGGGTAAAGGGTATTGCCTAAGGACCTGGTATTCCTATTTGGTCTCCCATCACAGTATTGGTAGTGATTAGCACTCTGAGATGCAAGAAGGCTATGGGTTCGAATCCTGGTCATAACAGGGCCTTTCTGAGTGGAGTTTGCATGTCTTTGGCGGTTTCCTTAATTACTGCTCGAAGCCCTTGTAGCAAAGGAAGGATGGGTCGAATGCAGACAGTAAAGTATAACTTAGTAACTTACCCTGCTTAACTTCTGAGATCTGAGGATTAGGTTTCACATGTCGCTGATGCATACATCAGTCTCAAACCACCAAAAAGTCAGTTCAGTCCAACCCCATTGTTACATTTAATTTACTTTTTATTCTATTCCAACATTTCATTTCATTTTCAACCCCTTTGTCCATTTCTGGGTCGGGGAGTGGCAATGAGAGCTGCCACCCAACGCTCATAGCACCAGTCCCTCGCTGATCTTCTGCAGGTTGTCAACAGCAGATAATAAAATCCTTTAAACAGTGGTTGGTCAAAAGACAGACAAGGACAAGTTGGACATCTGACCGAAAACATTTCAATCACCAAGTACATTACAAACACTCTGTGCTGGACCATGACAGGCAGTAGAGAGCAGTTTCAGTGACAGACTGATCCACCCTTGCTGTGTGAAGGAAAAAGGTTCTGCAGGTCTTTCCTTCCTGCTTCTGTCAGACTGTACAACAATCAATGAAGACTCATGAACCCTGATGACCTAACCTCACACATCATGCGTCTGTGCAATAATTTGAAATATTGTTAGACTGTACAATATGGGACCACCTACAGTATGTCCACTGTCACTTCCACCGACATGTATTACAGTTTTTGCCACAGAAGTCACTGAAGACTTGAGGAAACATGGGTGGAGTCTGGTGTGCTCCTGCTTGGTTGGAATTCAAGCCTCCAGCCCTTTCTGGAACCAGTTTACACTCCTGGTCGAGTCTCACTGGAATGAAAGCGTGAAGGACAGTGGTGATGATCTAGGACACTCGACATTCAACAACCTTTGTGGACTTTATCAACATTCATGAACATTGGCTATCTGCCCCTTGTGGACCAATGGCTCTATGTGTTTCTTATCATTGCATTTTCTGTGGCTAAACTCTTTGATTCTCTGATCTGGCGAATAGAGTCCTACTGTTGTTATTTAGGGACATACAAAAACATATTGAATTGAATTGAAATGCCTTAGTATTAGTAGTGGTAAAAAAAAACTACAAACAGACATAAACATCTTCGTCAGACGTCTGAAACTGTGGCTGAAATCGGAACAACGTTGCTCACATGATTAATGAACTGTATATTTAATTACTTTTACTGTATAATTGTAAATTTTAAATGTGTGCATTTGTGTCCTAAAAGTGTTGAAAAATAGCATGGTCTTGCTATAACACTAAAGGCAGTGCATCTGGTCTGTCCAATGTAACTGTTGTGTCCATATAAAAATAAAAATAAAATAGTGGCCAATATTCAGGACCTATTCAAAGGGATGCTGTTTTACATAACGGGAACAGGCCGTGCGAACAACAAGAAAACATATGATTGTCTGGATGCAGTGTCCAGCAGATGGTTTGGGAACACAAAACACACAATGTTCAACTGAATATAGAGAAAACATGTTATCACAACAGAATGGCTGAATGCAGTCAAGTGCACGATTGTTGGCCACACACCAGTAGGAACAAAAGGAGCACTTGTTGGTCCTCTGACCGTGGATCAGCAAATGCATCAGGGAAGTCAGATGAGATAAAAAAAAAGAACAGACAGCGCATGCATTGAGCTGCTTAACTTCACAATGAGGATTGATTCTTCTATTCACAATGACATCAACACAGAATCTTTTTTTTTTTAAACCCGTCAAACACAATCATACAGAACAAAATTGAATATGAATAGAATCTTTCATCTTCAAGAATTCATACATGTTTACACCTCTGCACCATGAACTGTATCTGTATCTGTGACAATTTACTTCCGCAGTGATTTGTATTAAAACATTCCTCATTGTGTATATAATTGTTTTAACTCACGTATTACAACAAGTATGTTTTAATCAATGTGTGATATTCTAAGTGTCCTGAAGATGGCGCCAGACTCTCCTACACTCTAAAGAATTTCCTTGTAGAAAAACGGTAAAAAGCTGGAAAATATGGTTCCAGGGATTTACCGTTTTCTCAACATGGCATTACCGTTGCTAATTTTAACGGTTGAAGACTGTTTCACTGAATCACGTTGTGCCTTTGTGATTTCAGGATTTAACTGTATGTTCCTGTTATTTCACATGCAACAAAAACAGCATTATAAGCTTAATTTTGTATTTTTACACCATATGACTGTTTCTGTTTCTAATTAGTTTCATTGAACAAAAAAATACACAGTTTAATTTTGCTTTCCTATAATAAACGCAACTTTTCAATTATTTTTTAACATCTTCAGTTTATACAAGATAATGGTCAAAATCTTTACTTCTATAACTCGATTAACGCAAAAAAAAGCATAATTTTAACAAAAGCAGGAGTTTAAACCTCTTTCCCATGCCTCTTACACTCATGGTTGCTTGCTCGCAAAAATGTCCCAGCATTCCAAAAATACAACAAGTTGATGTTAAATTACGGTAATCCCTCGTGATTTTATGGTATTGTAATGTTTTTTGTAATCACATGCCACTGGATGTTTTTAAACCAATTTATACTTAAATTTGCATGTTTGAATTGTTTTTCAAAATAACATTTCTTTAATGTTAAAATTTCATTGTAATTTTACAGAAATGCTACACTTGTATAGTTTTTTTTTTTTCTGCTAATAGATTATGAAAATAACCAAAATAATAGAAATCCCTATAAATACCACTCAAGTGTGGTCTGGCCTACCATGTACTACACTTTTACCAGTGATTTATCAGTGATTTAAAGGCATTGAGCTGCTTTCCTCACCATCACTTGTTTTGTATTTTGTATTATATTTACAACAATTTACAATACATACATTTTCTTCTTTTTTCTAGGTTATCTTTTAGTTCTATGAAAAGGCTATGAATCAAAACAAATCTTGAACTTGTTCTTGTCCTGTTGGCTTCAACATGCACTGTTGAAGGAAACAGCTGGGATGAAGATCAGCATCTCCAAACCGAGGTCATGGTGCCTAACCCTTCCCAGGTGGAGAGATCATTCCTCAAGTGGAGGAGTTCTAATATCTCAGGTCTTTCTCGCAAGAGGGAAGGATGAAGGGTGAGATTGACAGTGGGAGCGGTGCAGAGGATGGCAAAGCTCTCGTTGCCATCCCACCTATGGCCTTGGTGCTCTGATTAGAGCCGCTGCTCCTCCACATTTAGAAGAGACAGTTGAGGCAATTGTTCTGGTTGCTTCCTGCACACCTCCCTGGTGACCCTAGGGAGGACCAGGACACACTGTAGGGACCATGTATCTCAGCTGGCCTGGGAACGCCTCTGGATTCCTCCGGATGAGCTGGAGGAGGTGTGTGGATAGGGAAGTCTGGGCGCTCTGCTTAGACGGCTACTTCTTATTCAAGAATTGTGTACATTATTTGACATTTCATGCCATGTCCATTTATTAAATTTGCCAAATCTATAGCATTCTGTCACCATGAGACCCTTTATTTCTATTTTGTAGCATTAATATTCATGCCTTTTCCTTATGTAACCCTCTCAAATCAAAATCAATCCTTCAGATGAACTCCTGACCTCCCCAGTATCTAACCAAGCTTTAGATTGTTCATATTTTATACAGTTTTATTAAATTATATTTTCTTGTTGTGCATGTGAAGCACAATGGCCTATAAAGTTGAAATAAGTACATGCATCACAATGATAACAATAGTTCCTTATTCAAACCAGAAATTGACCTAATTCTTGCAATGTGAAAGATTTTGT